TGGGTCCTCTGCAATTGTCAGGCCTTCAGTAAGCACGTCGGTTACTTGATAGGTCTTGGGCAGAACGTTCGTGGTCCTGAACGTCTCGGGCTTGAAACTGGTGGTGAAGGCGAACCTCCTGGCAGGTGGTTCCGGCAAGGCTCCGAACCGTTGGTCTCCGGCAAGGCTCGGCGGTGATCCTGCGAGGGCCTTCCGCGAGGCTCGGCGGTGGGTCCGGCGAGGCTCGGGTCGGTTCGGCGAGGCTCGGCGGTGGTTCCGGCGAGGCCGTGGTGGTCCCGGCGAGGCTCGCTCGTGGTCCGGCGAGGTTCACGGCGGTGGTTCGGGACGAGCTTAATTCCTTCTCTTCCTCTTTACTTAGCTTGAGTCACCCTCTCTGTTGAAGAATGAGGGCTCTATATTATTAATTTTCTGGAGTTGCATTGTTGCCCGTAAATAGATTGAGATCTTAAAGGGCGAATAGGAGTGGTTCGAATGGACGGCCCGATAGTGAACACCTTAGATCGTACACCGTTCAATTGAACATATTGGGAGACTAATGATGTTGGAATGTCGCGTCTGTGGCTCGTGGATTCGTCTCGTCGAGCCACCTTTCATTCGAGTATAAGCTCGTCAAAATCGGAGACCGTTTTGGTAACTTAAATTGTGGAGTTTGAACCTGTCCAACAGCGCTCCGGAGTGGACTCCTCGTTACTAGTTGTAATCTGATCGCCCTTGGAGGCGATTCAGCCCTTTGTAACCGGCTCAAATTCTAGGTGGATTCATTTAAACTGGGCCAGGCCCCGTGGTTTTTCCCCCTTTTTAGGGGTTTTCCACATAAAAAACTCTGTTCTCTTATGAATGCTACACCCTCTCACTTATCTGATTGTGTGCTGGATCTTCGTACAATGCTAAGACATTAAACTATATTTCTCTACCGCCGCGAATACTCCAGGACGCAACAATAACATAAATCAGTAATTATTAATCTAATGATAAAAAATTTGCACTGAACTAGAAAATCTTATACCCTATTTGCAACCCAAAAAACATCAACGTCCTTTGCATCATTGAGTTTGCTCTCACTTCATCACAACTCTCTCTCTTTCGCTATTCTCTCTCATCCTTTCGCTTCTCCAAGGAAACCTAATCCTTTAATGCTTGATAGACAATACTTCTCAAAGAAATTTAAGAACATCTCTAAGGGCATCTCCAATCGAAACTCTCATTTTTCACTGTAAAATGCAGTAAAATTAAAAAGTGTTGTGATTCATCTCCAGTGGAACGTCATTTTGCCCCCCAAATCATCGTTGTTTCTTTCGCGCCTTTCTCAGATAAGTTCGGTAGAGGAAAGAAATGGCGCAAGTGAACAGTGCGATGCAAATATTGGCGTCGCACTGTTCATCAGCGACTGAATGCCGGCAAAAATTGAGTTCGGTTGCGACGTTTGAGGCTCTCCATTCACGCCATTCACCTGTTTGCTGAACGACTGGAGAAGCTCTAAGCCAACTGAATACCAACGTATGCAGCATGTTATTTGCTGCATTCGAGCTCCAAATTTTACGTCAAAATTCGGTAGGCGAACAGTGCGACACCAATATTGACGTCAGACAGTTCACTTACCCCAAAAAATAGCACAACAGAGGAGAGATATTGTTACCTTCGTAGGAAGCGCATGAAAGAAATAAAAAATAATTCAATTAAGATGAATCACGACATTTTAAAATTTTAATGTATTTTAGGGTGGAAAATGTATATTGCAACCCAAAAATACATCAACGCCCTTCTTTGCCTCATTCCAATCAAGTTAAACTAAATTAATATCTTCCTAATACCTCAGAAGGTCTAGGGATTGATTTTCAACTTATCTATTTCGACGTTGCTGTTCGACTTCTTTGCTTCGCGTGAGGTAGGGCTTTGCACGAGTAGCTTTTTCCGCTTCCTTCGTCGCTGTTCGACTTCGCTCCTTCGTCGAGGTTCCCTTCCTGTCGGATCGGAATTCGCAACATTTTGATCGGAAGCAACGAAGGGAGCTCGCTAGCTGTGAAAGTAACTATCTCTCTCCCTTTCGCATTCTTCTCTGACCAAATCCCGTAAAGCGTTCGACTTTCAGGATTTACTAAATCCTGGATTTACAGTGCAAAGGGAGACGGAGGATTTGTTCCGCCGTGAGATTTAGCGGGATCAAATCCCGTTTGGCAGGATTTGACTTAAATCCTGTTGGCAAACAGTCTCTAATTCGCCAGCAGGCCAATGGCTCCCTCTCGCCGCCACGATAGGGAGTCCGATGAAGATCGCCCGACCAGAAATCATCGAGGTGATGTTGATCGTGACCGTAGAAGGAGGAAATCTCCAATTCCTTCGTCTAGTTTTTCGAAGAGAGATGAAGACAGGCGAAATCGGGGGCGCCGTGAAAAGGACAATGGCAGGGGATCAGCAAAGTCTCGCACGCACCAGGCTTACAGGCACAGTAGCTCTGACGAGGATTCTGATTTGAGAGGTCGGCTTGAGGAGAAATCCAAGGATGTAAGGAGTCACTACAGTGTCCAGAGATCGGAAAGCCCCGAACCTTGGCTGGATAGGGTTGGGAAAATGAAAGAGGAAAAGGAGGAGAAGAAACCTCAGCAGCCAGTGCAGCAGATGGCGGATGCAGTGGCTATGAAAACTGGCGGGATATACATCCCACCTCACCGGATGGCTCAGATGATGAGGGATGTGCAAGATAAGAGCAGCGAAGCCTACCAGCGTCTAAGCTGGGATGCCCTGAGGAAGAGTATTAATGGTCTTGTGAACAAGGTGAATGCTACAAACATCAAAAACATCATCCCTGAACTCTTTTCCGAGAACCTCATCAGGGGAAGAGGGCTTTTTTGTCGGTCTTGCATGAAATCTCAGATGGCATCCCCTGGTTTCACTGATGTTTTTGCTGCTTTGGTTGCGGTTGTGAACACCAAGTTTCCTGAAGTTGGTAAGCTCCTCCTGAAGAGGATTCTCTTGCAGTTCAAGAGGTCTTTTGCAAGGAATGACAAGGTTTTGTGCTTGCTACTTCAACTTTTCCATCATATTAGTGCTGATGAGAAGTGACTTGATGTACAAATGTTATGAACTGCTCTTCTTGACAGCCTCAATTGCTTGCTGCAACTAAATTCATAGCACATCTTGTAAATCAGCAAGTGGCACATGAAGTCATTGCTTTGGAGCTTCTTACAGTGTTATTGGTAAATCCCACGGATGACAGTGTTGAGGTAGCGTCTCTTTCTAATATGCTTATTTTTTGCTTTAGTTTTGCAGTTTGCTAAATGCTAATGTTTTAAATTTAATACATAGGTTGCTGTTGGATTTGTCAAAGAATGTGGAGCATTGCTTCAGGACCTTGTTCCGCTTGGTCTCCACGGTGAGTGATTTATGCTTGGTCTACTGTACAATTATCGGTAAAAAATATTGTTCAAGCTTTAAATTCCATGTATTGTTACTTAATTTAACCTCTTGTAGTTGATGTTGCTATCTTTTACCTCACCATCATACTTGGCCAAATTATTTATTTATAATACTTTGAGGCATTTGCTTATTACTTAGGCTTCATTTGGGACGACTTTTTCGTTGCTTCTTAAAGCAGCTTTCTAGTATAAAATTTTTAATTTTCGTACTAAAAAGCTGCTTTAAGAAGCAACAAAAAAGCCGCCCCGAACAAAGCCGTAATTAATGCCTTTTCATTTTTATGCACTCACCTTTCACTGATACCGTTCTCCGACTTCTCACTGATACAGCTCTCACCTACTACTGATATAGTGTCTTGAAACCCTCTTGCTATCCTGCTCTCTATTTTTTGGAGTAATGAGTACATAGGATTATCGAATACAGATACAACTATGTGGTTAATTTTTTTTAAGCTTTATAAATTTACTGAATTTGAGTGGGAATTATTGAGTGCTACATCAGGATAGATCCAATTGTTAAGAGGAACTGAGAGAAATGGTTCTATATGACATGCCAGGCCAAGTAATTGCATTACTGTTTGTTAGTCAGTTATGTCCATCCTATTATTTTTTTAAAAAATATTTTTCCTGGCTTAATCTGTTGTGGCATGTTCAATAAGAACAATTTCAAAAACTAAAATAATGAACTTGGTAATCAGATATATGGTATTTGCCAGTTGAAGTAGTGAATTCTATTTCAATTATTATTTTGAGGCTAAGAAAATCGCCATCAGAAATTTTGCCTTTGGTTTGCTTGATATTAAACGTTAAAGGATTTCTATTTCTGATATTAATTTGACAAATTTATTCTTTAATATCTTTGTTTCCATGTTGAATATTTTCTTCCTTATTAAATTTTTTGTCTTCTCATGTCACACTAAGCTTACTATTGTTTCCTTGTACGCTATGTCCATGCTATTGTTTATATAGTTGATCATTTTACTTGATATATATATGCTTTGGGAATGATGTCATACTTAGCCGAATATAATGGCATTTTTTTTTTTCATACCCGTCTTTACTTTAGATGCTAGTTGCTACACCTTCTCTCTAATATGGTAATCTCACAGTCACTCCTTTCTAATTTCACTAAACATATATCTGAATAGTCTCATTTCTCTATATTTGAAGGTGTTTTTGAGAGATTCCGTGGCATACTTCACGAAGGAGAAATAGATAAACGAGTACAATTTTTGATAGAAGGCCTTTTTGCCATACGAAAGGCTAAGTTTCAGGTGTCCAATCACGCTTTATAGACATTGAATTGCGATATGCATGCATTTAAATATCTATTTACCTAGAGTAATTTTGTATGGATTTTTTTATCATATCTACAGGGTTTTCCTGCTATTCGTTCTGAACTAGATCTAGTGGAGCAAGAGGATCAGTTTACACATGAGATGTCATTTGAGGATGAGATAGATCCAGAGATGAACCTAGGTTTTTTTCCTATGCATTTACAGTTTATTTATCATTAATATTGTAACCTTTGTGAATCTAATGATGTTTTTTATTTCTAGATGTTTTCAAGAAGAGTCTACAATTTCTTGAAGATGAGAAAGCTTATGATGATCTCAAGAAAAGTATTCTTGGGGAGGAAGAATCTTCTGATAATGAAGCAGGATCGGAAGAGGGCTCAGATGTTGAGGATGACGAAGAATCTGAAGAAGAGGATGATGAACAAATGAAGATAAAGGACGAGACTGAAACCAACCTGATCAATTTACGGAGAACTATTTACCTCACAATCATGTCAAGTGTTGATTTTGAGGAGGCGGGTCATAAATTATTGAAAATAAAACTTGAGCCTGGTCAAGAGGTATGATCACTTTCTACTTTATATTAGGTTATAATGTTATTATGTTACTCATGCTGTGCACTACTAGCCTGTGGGTTGATTAATGTTTTTTAATGTCTAATGATTTTCTAACAATTAATGCATGATGGTTTTGATTTTGTTGGCTCTATTGAATATCAAAAAACATATGAGAGCGTACTTGACTGGTTGAGCTTGAAAGACTTTAATTTTATTAAAAAAATAAAATTCTTTAGTTGAGCCAAGCTTAAAGTTAGATTAGATCGCTAGTTTCCTTGATATTGGTATCGAAGTTTAAGATAATTTAGAAATATTTTATAGATTATTATGGAGATTTGGTAGTGGAGGGAGGAGATGCACAATGTTATTTTGGAAAATAGATGAGCTTTTAAAGAGTGGCTAAACTCAAATGCTATTAAAGCTAATTATGATCATAAAAAAACTGAAAAGTCTGACAAAGATGATAATAAGCAATGAACAAATTATAACTTTTTGATAATTTCTAATATGCTTGATATTAAGGAAGCTGAAAAAGGAGAGTATAAAATAACTATGGAAAGAAGTGAGAGATAGGAACTTGATCAAATTAGTTGCATTCCTAGTGATGATACTATGATCTTAGTTAAAAAGGAAGACATCAAGAAATATACAATGCTACTTTGAAAAATATTAAATGGGTGTTTTTAAGAAATAAATTATTTTTGAAGATTATTACGAGCAATATTTTTAGATATATTATAAGATTTAACCACAAAAATGAAGCGGAGTTAGTTGTAAGGAACTTTCATTAAGATTATATTTAGATTAATACTATCATGATAAAAAAAAAGAATTCTACACTAATATAAAGATATTTCAGATTAATATTGCTTGTGATTAATTTTATCATCCACAAATCCCCTTGTCTTGATACTCAATAAAACGGAGTGGCATAAAAGAAAAATCGTTGGCTTCTGGTATTCTCCAAGACTCTTCTCTTCCATAATCATGTGCCAAAAATATATTGAAGAGAAGCATTCCTAATTGTCGCATGCCTAATCAATAGAATGCCCTCAAAAGTGATGAATTTTAAAATATCTATAAATTACATCCCTAAGATCTTCTACACAAACAACTTTATCTCAAAAATTCTTCTATAAATCTGTGTACATTGCTTATGTCTGCATCGCTTATGTCTGCATCCACAAACAACGCAAGGGTAAACTTGATCCTAGATTTGTCAAATGTGTCTTTATTTGGTATTGTTCTACTCAAAGAGTATAAATGTTATTATACCACCACTAAAAAATATAAGAATATTTTTTTTTTTCAATCAAGCTCATCTTCAAGGCCCTTAACTGGAAGATAAGTTTGATGAAATATCTATCTTTCATCTTGACATTCCTACAACACAAACTCAAAAAATTCAAACATTGTGCCCCTTAAAGTCTATATAAAGTAGGAATAATAAGCCTAGTAAAAATCTCTAGCAAGTTCAAGGCTCAGAACCACATTTAAGTAATAATAATCACCTTCAATATATATCTTCTATGTATCCTATCTCCCAGCACTCATCTCTTTTAAAAATTTTCTTTCAAATATCTACTCTAAGTCTATTACAATACCTCTAATTCAATTTGAGATAGTTGAAAACAAAAATTGAAAGGATCTCATAAGAGAAGAGATTAGTGCTCTGGGAAATAAATCACATTTGGGATATCTTTGAGCTAACAAAAAGAAAGTAAAATATAAGATGCAAATGGAATTTTTTTTAGGTAAAATATAAAGTAGATGAAAGTTTGGAATGATATAAAAGAGAGACTGGTAGCCAAAGGATATACTCACTTCTTTGAAATTGACTACCGGAAAATTTTTGTTTATGTTGTGAAAATGAATAAAATACGTATCTTATTTCTCCTACGTCTAATCATGGATAATCAAGATTTAGGGGAAAAACTAATATAACAAATGTTTGGGATTTTTCATAATGTTTACTAGGATTTCTCGAAGACAAAGTTCATTTTAACTATTCTCTGAAAAATGTATATTTGATCTATATACGGGCAAATTTTATTAGTGATCCATGATTTTATTATTATAATTCTCGACAATAGTTACCTTCTTTTTCTAACTTTTCTAACTTTTTCTAGCCTGTCTTGTGAATCTTATCTATTTGTTCCTTGTTGCAAATCTGTGTGGTGGTGAATTTAGTTTAACAAATACCTTTGAATATGGTTAAGTTTATATTGAGCCTGCCCATATGGATTGTGGAAGGGATTATAGATTAATACACCATATTAAGAAAACATGTGTTTTTTTGGAATTCACAGAAGATTAAATATGTTAAATAGCACTCGCCAAAATGTAACAAAAGGTTGTATCGCTCTCCCTAAAGGTCTAATTTCCTTTCTCCTTGGAAGTTCTAGCAACCGGTCTAATTTCCTTTCTCCTTGGAAGTTCTAGCAACCACCCGGTGGATAAGTTTATAGGATTCGGTCTCGCAGTCTGCCTATTTTCTGGTTTTCACAACTTGAATTGAGTTATATGTATAAATATATAGTGCCTGCCCTGAGTAATATACCTGCTTGGTGACCTTTTTTTGTTTTGTGTAAGGGATGCTGAAGCCTACAAGAAACAGCTCTAGTTAGCTTTGAGATTGTTCTGGTGGTAGCTGTTGCAGCTTCCACTATTTTTCCCTATATTTTCAAAAGATATTAGTCTTTTTTATCTTTATGTGCTGATAGATTGAATTTGAGCTTTCATTAGCTGCAAGTCTTTTTTATGCTATTTCTAATGCTATGAACAGTCCATACTTGTTTTGATCTGTCAGTCTTATGATCAACTATGGGCTATTCTATCCGATCTTGAGCCAAGCTAGATCAATCTGTAGACTGGCTTGATCTATTTAAAAGTCTAGATTGTCTTGCACATTTACTAGAACTCAATCAAAAAATAGATTGATTTAGATCAATTTTTTATCTTTTAATAAAATTGTTAGCGTAACCTACAAACAAGCATATATTCATACCCTAAAAACAAGCACCCATAGCTAGATACCTCATGCCGGTTTTATTCAAATAAAATCTTGCTTTTTAAAATTTGGATTTGAGCCAACCCCAATTTGTTGGTTTGGCTTGTTAATTGTGATTCGAGCTAGATTTAAGTAAAAAAATTGGTCTGAATTTTGACCTAATCTCATGTTGGCTTGGTTTACATAAGATCTTTCTTTTTTGTCTATGAGATGAGGCTTAAGCCTTGAGGTGTTTTGAGGCATAAACCTTAGAATAAAAAATTTGTGCTAAGAGGGAAGTATTATACTAACATCAAAATATGAAGTAAGAACTAACATATTAACATCCTAATCTATTAGCATATCAGGAAGTAACATATTAGCATTCTAACATTACAACAACAACAACAACAACATCAAGCCTTTATCGCACTACGTGGGGTCGGCTACATGAATCCTTTTTCTCAATTGTGTCCTATTAAAAGTCAAATTCTCATTTAAATCTAATAAAGAAAGGTCATTCCTAATATTTTCTAACCAAGTCTTTTTAGGTCTACCCCTACCTTTCTTAACACAAGTCAAATCTAATACCTCTACTCTCCTAACCGGGTCATCGGAAGGCCGCCTTTTTATGTGAAAATTTTTTAAAGGATTCATGTCATTATTGTTCGACAAGTTTTACGCTGGCTGTCGACTACTTAACGCAACCCTCCACTTTTCTCATCCAGGACTTGGGACCTGGCAACGACAGTGTTAATATTAGTATTCTAACATTGTAAGAACTAATTTTTTTTGCAAATATTAAGAAACATATTAACATCTTGACGACAAATCATGAAGTAAGAAGTGTCATACAAACATTACAACAACAACAACAACATCAAGCCTTTGTCCCACTACGTGGGGTCGGCTACATGAATCCTTCTTCGCCATTGTGTCCGGTTAAAAGTCAAATTCTCATTTAAATCTAATAAAGAAAGATCATTTCTAATATTTTCTAACCAAGTCTTTTTAGGTCTACCTCTACCTTTCTTAACATAACTACATAAGTCAAATCTAATACCTCAACTTTCCTAACCGGGTCATCGGGAGGCCTTCGTTTAATGTGACCAAACCATCTAAGGCGACTCTCTCTAATCTTATCTTCCACTGGAGCTACTCCAACCTTTTCACGTATATGCTCATTTCGTATCATATCTCTAAGGGTCAAGCCACTTATCCACCTAAGCATCCTCATCTCTGCAATACTTAACTTAGTATTATGCTTCTCTTTTAATGGCCAACATTCGGCACCATAAAGCATTGCAGGTCTCACCACCATCTTATAGAATTTTCCTTTAAGTTTAAGCCCGATTAGTCTCTATCCTAGTCATACAAACATTAAAGCAAGATAAAATATCAAAGTAAGAATTAAAAACATAACAATTCAAATTAATTTTGACACAATTAGTCTCTATCCTAGTCTTACTATCCAACTTCAATGTAAGAATATAACAAGCCACCAATATTGGAATTCTAAAATAAAAACTTCCTAGCACTCTCATCACTCTGTTGGTGTTCGTTATAATCATTAATATAACGAATTGCTTTCTTTCCGACCTCATCCTCAATTATGTCAATGTTCTCTCGATCTTCAATCTCAATCATTCTTCATCATCTTTTATCAATAATAATTAATTAGAATATTAATTGAAGTTTAAAACAATGTTGATTACAATGTTAATTACCTATATTTTTATACATAACTTTTACTTATTTCTTGTTGGCCTGTGGTAGACCTATTGGTTTTGCTTTTTTTCCCTATTGAAGAAACCCACATTGAGATTTTCTTGTTGCAAATCAGATGGTGTAACTTTATTATCATCATCTAAAAATCATTCATCTAATGGCACATCATTATAAAGTAAGAGATCTCCGTCATCCTTTAAGGCCTTCTTCTTCAAATGTCTTTTCTTTAATCTCTTGTTGTGCATGATTATGCCAAGGAGTTCATTACTAAGATAGGCAGACGATCTCTCCTTTTAGCATGAACTTGATTGTATATACTTCAATTTCTCTTGCAATTAGATGAGAAACATTTGAGCCCAATATTTAACAACAATTTGTTGTAGCTCTAGAATGCCAACATCAAATTGAATTTACCATTGAACTAGATTTGAAAAAAAAAAAACAATTAAAATTGGGAGATTGTTTCCTATTTCAATCAAGAAATGCAAAAAAATTATTTACGAAATGTTTTACAACTTTATCTTTGGCTTGTTGAGTTCAAAGAATCCTTTTTTATTTTTAAATGCTACAAGTTGTAGATCAACCTTCACCATCTCACTTAAGTAAACTATCAACCTATCTATATTGTGGCAAACTTAACTTGATCTCAGGATTTTTCAATTTATTCTTGCATATATGTGGCATACAAATGATGATGAAGCTGAAGCTTCCAATTCTCATCAATTATTTTCACAAATTTCCTCTTCCTTAGTTATGTGTGATGAACTACTTAATCTCGTCCATTGCATTATATTGAAGCCTATAGCTAGCTTTTTCTCCGCATCAACCATCCTTAAAAGTTGAATAAATGACTTTGTTGTTGTTACTGCATAACACATAACCAAAACTTTTCATTCAAAACAATCTTCATGACTTTTTTTCATTAGTTTTTTTTGCCTAAGCACAATTACACCATTGTGTTGAAGTGAACATAGCCTCTAATGGCTATCTTGCTTCCAACATATTTCATAGAGTCAAGTAGATTATTGTACATCGAGTTGTAACAGGCCATAGGAGTTCCTTTTTATAGAATTTTCTCCTCAAAGTTAAAATCCATGAATGATTGTAGATAATGTTGTTGATCTTCTTTTCCTTGCTTAAGGCATTATTGTGCTTAGTTAAGTCAACAAATTTCTCAAGAATTAAAGCTATGCAGTGTGTCGCACATAATGTTCAATACATGTATTTTCTCTTATCCATCAACTCATTTTTAGTATCCCTATAAGCACTAGCATTGTTTGTAACAACTTGTACCATTAAATACTCTCCAATATCCTCATTGCCTCTATCAAGAGGTCCAAAAATATACTCTAATTCTTTTTCTTGAACTAATGCTTCGATAGACTTTCGAAAAATAGTGTTGTAGGGATTATTAATCAATATTTTATTATTGATATTTGACAAATCATTAGACATGATCGGCACTCCAGTTTGATTTCAAGTTCTCCTAATCCTAATGACCTTTTTAGTTCTATTAAGTTCCTCTTTAGTCCGTAACTTCTGAGGTTAGATATAAATGATGGCTCTAGGCCGTGACCATAGGAACCTATAGAACTTTTTTTTTTTTTGAAATATGAAGGGGGAGGTTTCAAATTAAATGTAATGACATTTTTTTAAAGAATCTTCCAATATCCATACACGCTAGCACACCTGCAAGTCTATCTAGCATTTTCAAGAGGTATCCTATGGTTTATCCTTGCGTCATTATCTTTGTTATCCTCCATATTTATCATATATTAATCCATGGGTCATCTTGCACCTCTACTTGACATTATTGGAAAGAAGATGAGGAATTTTCGCTATTAGCCTCACACCAATAATAAGATCCAACATCGAATTTTTTATCATACTGCCAATGTGTTAAATGCTTTGTCACCGTTGCCTTGTTCATATGTACAAGGATCTTCTTTTTCAAATCCTATAACATCTGGGCACATGATGCAACATTCTTATAAGAGCCGTAGATGTGCTCTTTCATTCTTATAACACTTTGTTTTACAAACTTTTTGTAATAATTGCATTTTAGAAAACATATGTTTTGTCATTCCCTTAAATGTCAACTTGCACAGTATGCTTCCATGTGTGTTTCTTTTGTCTCGTTATACTTTTATTCTTAGTTTCGTACCCCTTACCATTTTAAAAAAGCCCAAAAGTTTTTACTTTAAAAAATGTTGGACCAAGCAAATTATCACCAAAGAAGAAATCCTAAATAAACAAAGCAAAAGTTTTAGGTTTAGGATAAAAAGATAATAGTTAACAACAAGAAGATGAGATATGGTGGAGGAAGAGGAGATGCATCACTTATTGAGGGAGGATGTTTGACAAGGAGGACATGATGATGATGACTAGGAAGGAGGCGATCAACAACAATGAGGCAGTCGGTAGAGACGTGAGAGGCGAGATGAGTTCATACTTAGAGAACAAGAGCGAGATGGGGTGCAGGTTTGCGTGAGGGTTGAGGTGTGAGGTAGAAATAATAAATGGTCTTTTAATTGGGAGTAATATTTTTTTTTTCAATATTATTTATTAAAAAAAACACACCCAACCTTAAATAATATGTAGTGCATGCCTCACATGAAAGTCCATGAGGTGCATGACGCAAAGTAAAATTGCCCAAAGAATGTTGAGGCATATATCAAATTGCGCAATTTAAATTATGATTCATGCCATCCTGGTTTGTTAATTAGGTTCATTGATCATGATCCGAGATTTATTCAACTCAAAAGTTGATTTGATTTTTGAGGGATATAAGGACATTCTATGTTTGAGGTAGATTCATAGTTTTGCTTATTTGAAGTTGCATTCTTTTTTGCTTTTATTAGATTTGGACAAAAAAAATGATGTTATTTACCCCTTGATTTTTTAAAATTTGGGCAAAAAATAGTCAAAAGTTTCTTGACCTTCTTGTTTGAAGAACCTTTATAAAAAGAAGAGTAATCGGTTCTTCTTCTACAAGATAGTAGTCCAATAAAAGTAGATGAAGCGACATATATGATATCTACTATTACCAATGATGCTTTGATTGTTCTTTGCACAACATTTTATTTTTCCAATGATCTTGTTGTCTTTCTTCATAAGAAAATCTGGCCGAGTAATTTCTTTGTCGCCAGAATAATTTGTCCTAGCCAAATTTATTGAGATCTTCATAGTCTTGCTATATTAATTGTTGTCTCGGATTAATAATCTTCTTTAAAAAGTGTGGAGCTATGTTGACAGTAGAATGTTTATACAGGATATGCAAACTCACAAGTAATTTTAAATGTTTTTTTTTTTTTTTTTTTGTGAGTGGGGATTACATAACTTCTAAAACACATTAATTGATGCTTATGCCAATTCTTTGAACTTTTGAATCCATATATTTGTGTGTGTCACAATCAAACTATCGGAAATTTGTGTCACAATCAAACTATCAGAATTTGGACGAAAGTGTAAAAAATTAGGTTGGCGTTTTGTTGTAAATTTTGATATTTGGGTGACAATTTGAAAAATAAAGGTTGGATGGTGTTAGTCTTGTAAATAGCTAAGATTTAAATGTTATGCATGTAATTGCTCTTTTATCATTATAGCTTATAAGTTTGTTGCCTTTGACTCTTATTTATGAAATTTTTTTGGAGCTGTCTTTTGTTTAATTGGGATAAGTACAGATACAATATATTCTTGCAGATGGAACTGTGCATAATGTTGTTGGAATGCTGCAGTCAGGAGAGAACCTATCTGCGGTATTATGGTCTTTTGGGGCAAAGATTTTGTATGATCAACAAAGTTCACCAGGAGAACTTTGAAAAATGCTTTGTACAGCAATATTCCATGATACATCGTCTTGAGACAAATAAACTACGAAATGTTGCAAAATTTTTTGCTCATTTGCTTGGCACTGATGCACTGCCTTGGCATGTTCTGGCATACATCCGCTTAACAGAGGAAGATACAACTTCATCTTCCCGAATTTTCATAAAAATTCTTTTCCAGGTATTTTCATGAACGTTTCTCTACAATTATGTTGCACGGATACACCTATTTATGAAGGCGTGTTGTATCCAATACATTGATATACGAATTCGCCTCCAATACGACAATACGTGTCGGATACGGCAAAAACTAAAATGCTATTTAATTTCAAAAGGACACGTGTATCCGATACGCGTGTCCCCGTTGAAAAACAAAAAAATTCGAAAAAAAGACCCGTTGTATTTACTTCCGCGGCTGTGAGCGAGGTTCTCTCGTTTCCGAGATGGATTTGAGTCTCTTGATGATATGGGAATATTAGAAATTGCTAATCTTTCACTTGATGAGCCTGAATTAGAAGCTATGATATGTATTGAAGATGATAAAGAAGTTCAAAGACAAACCACTAAAGAAGCTAATCATATCATTCCTTCTATTGAATAGTTGAAACTTCATGTGCTAGACAATTTATATTTATGTTTTTGTTATTGTATTAGACATTTAATATTTACTTTTATTTTGATATTATAAGCTACATGGCTACAAATGATGTTACTTTCTTTCTTTTTTTTTGTAATTTCAAATATTATGCTTTGATTGCTTTCTTATTTTTAATGTATGATTTATAAATTATAATGCCGTGTCCGTGCCGTACCTGTATCATGTATTTTTAAGAATTGACTTGTCCCGTATCCATATCGTGTCATATCCGTGTCGCCGTATTCGTATCGGTGCAACATAGCTACAATTATGTCCAATATACAATGCCGTTGAGTTGACTACTTTTCATTTTTCCAATTTTTAGGAACTTTCAGAGCATCTTGGCATACGCCTGCTCAATGAACGGCTTAATGAGCCAACAATGCAGGATTCATTTGAATCAATTTTTCCAAAGGATAATCCAAAAAACACAAGATTCTCAATAAACTTCTTCACTTCCATTGGTCTTGGTGGCATCACAGAGAACTTACGAGAGTACTTGAAGAATATGCCAAGACTTATCATGCAGCAACAAAAGCCTGTTTCAGATTCTTCAGGTGATGAATCTGGTAGTTCCGGCAGCTCAAGCAGCGACGGTTCCTCCTCCAATTCTGGTTCCGATTCAGAGCCCGAGTCTGAATCGATTTCTGATGATAGCAGGCATCGCAAGAAGTCGAGAAAGCGATGATGAACTATTCGAGACGAATGAGGCTACCACAGCTTTCCCATCATGTAATTATTACTTCAACCAGATTTATCTTTTTAATCATTTCCCTTGCTATGCTGCTTATGTTAGTCACTTGACTAGATTTTCATGTTATCAGGTTTTATTATTGCTTCTGCATGTCTCAATAATTTTGTAGATGCTTCAGTGTGATTGTTAGTTTTAGCCCATCATTTTGTTTCTTTTTGTCCCTCAACAACTACAAGCCTTTTTTTCTACTGTGGAGTCAGCTACTGAATCCCTCAAAAAGATTTAAAAAAAAAAGATTATATCAGGATTGTGATTTGTAAAGGAAAATGGTAAAATAAAATCCAAGAGTGCTTAGGTATATGCGTAGGGATTGATTTTCAAGTGTTATTTTTTTTTTTTGTTGATTTAGGCTTCGTTTGGGATGGTTTTTTTACTGCTTTTTGAAGTAGATTTTTAGTACAAAAAATTAAAATTTTTGTACTAAAAATCTCTTTTAAAAATCATTAAGAAAGCCGTCCTAAACGAAGCCTTAGTTACAATGTAATCTCAAGTTATATTAAAGAATGTCATAATCAGATCGAAGGTGGACCTAGCTTTCTCTCAAAAGCCTATGATCATTAATATCTTTACACAAGTTTCCTATGATGTAATGTAGATTTCATTTATATGGCCCAAATTATTTATCAGATTACATAAGTTTGCATAGATATCTCTATTATTAGATCCTTGTGATATTTTATCCAAAATAAGTCAGTTCTACGAGAAATTATTCTGTGCGGAGGCCGAACGCAGCTCTACGTCTAGAGTCAAATCAGGTGCAATCACATCAGACATATCAAGCCGAGTATTGAGCGATACCAAGCAGCACCGAGCCGTGGTACACAACAAAATGGTGATGTGACGCATTTTGGTTGTTCTCCGGATTTATTGGCATCCGCCACTACTGTCGACCGCCCACAACCAACACAGGTCATCGTCTCTGTCAACCACCAACCATCACAATTATTGAGTTGTCCATTATCTTAATTTTATTTCAAACAAAAACAAAATCTTACATATTAATTTATTTTGCATTATTTTATATGCTAATCAAATGACCCCTTAATCAGAAAAGAAGCACGATGACTTCACACATTATTTATAAACTCTTTGATGAATTTTGTTAAACAGTATTCGGTATTCGGTATTAGTGCCACTTAGGAATTCGCTTATGATTAGGTAATTTTGCCGCTAATTTATTCGCTGAAAAAATTCCTTCTCAATCAAAATGATAATTTGACTTTACTTTTTGATTAATTTGACTCTCTCTCTCTCTCTTCACCGTGAGTCGATAAGGATTAATATACTCATTATATTCCTGTTTTATTAAATATTTCTAAAATACCATCTTATATTTGAACCAATATTCTCATTATATCATTATTAATATTATGAGAGATTTACATATATATACAGCACTCCAAACAATGTAATTTACATATTTGACATGTAAAGCGTTAACGATGTTAACTGGTCTTACAGGAGCTCTTAGGTGAGAGCATCAAGAATTTTTATTAGATCCAATGTCCTGACGTAATTCTACGTTCGGACGCTAGTAAAATGGTGCCACGTGCTCTTATTCTTTACCGCGCGGCCCGACGATCCGATTCGGACCGACGCAGGATTGTTATGTATTGGCTGATTTGTGCAGACTGGGATATTGCTAGGTATTGCTCGATATTGCTCGGCAATAACGAGAAATATCATTCTGTGAAGACCAATATTGACCTAGCTTTACCAAGCAATACCGAGCAATACCCTGGTATTACTAGGTATTGCTAGATGAATCACGGCAATTTTTGATTTTACTGCATTTTGCAGTGAAAAATGAGAGTTTCGGTTGGAGATGCCCTTTATAAGAAGCTCATATGGCGGACCAATAGCTTGTGAGAGTTTATAGATTTTATTGGGAACTTTTATTTTTATTTTATTTTGATATTTTAGGTGCTATATGAAATTGAGATATAAATTATATAAATTAAAAAAAAATTGAATGCATATATACTGTGTGGGTCGAAATTGAAATTTCTAGCCCGTAATTGTTGGAATTAAAGGTAGACAGACAACTTGAAAGCGATGAGATCATGTGGACCGGCAATCATTAAAAAAAAAAAAGTTCATTAAAAAATAGAATTAAATAAATAATTTAGAAGATAGCTAGGCTGTATTGCTCTGAGTGGACCTCACTTCAGCAACTCCTGTTCATCTTTTCTCTGAGCACATATTTTTATAATTATATTAGTGCTAAAAAGTCTGTATGTTTTCTGTTGACAGACTATTTAACATGAAATTTTAATAATGAAAAAAAAATTCTAAAAATCGAAGCAATTTTTGAGATATTTTTAAGGAATTATTTCATTTAATTAATTTGTTTGTATTCTACGATGGGAAATAGAATGTAGTTAAAAAATTTTGTTGGTGCAAATCATGGTTTAAAATTGCGCAATATGAGGCTCGCCTTGAGGTCCGTCTTTGCGCAATTCCAGTAAAAAACGTCTCGATGCTTACGCCTCGAGCTTTTTTTATGAGGCTTGCGACACAACTTGGTTGAGGCCCGCCTTGAGATCTGCCTCGCCTCAGTGTAAGCCTCATGCTATATATATTAAAACTTACATAAATCTTGAAGTAAATGCTCGACATTTGACTCTATACGAGAGAAGAAAGGGGAGAGAGCAGCTCACCATAATGATGATTCAAATGAAGAAACCCTTAGTGATGATGACTTATGAGTTCTTATGTGATATGTCATTGTTATTTATTTTTGGAAATTTGAATTATATATTAATGAAAAGAGTACTGGGATTTGGGAAAGATATAATTTTGAGTTGAACTATATTTCATGGTCTTATTATTGAGATATTTTAATTTCACTTCATATCTTATATTTTTTTTTATGTTTAATATTATTCACTCATTAGTATATAAAAAATTATCATTTTATATTTACGAAATCTTTTGATTTTGAGGCTTACGCCTCGCCTCACGAATAAAAAACGCCTCAATACCCAAATACGCAATTTTAAATATTAGTGCAAATTAGTTGAATTTGTTGCTCTATTATTATTATTATTATATCATAATAAACTACCATTGTGGACTTTCTGGTGATAAAAATTAGTTTAATATTTAGTAAATTGCGTGTATAACACCCAATTAACAAGAATGTCAAAGAAAACGCCTTATATTAAATCAATTGACGTTTCATCAGTGGAGCTAAATTATTTGTTGATAGAGAAGCACCACAGATTATTGATCTTCATAGCACATAAATTATTGTATGGAGATCAGACACAGATTATCAAACGAATACCAATTAAGATGTGTCACATCAGCGATACCGAGTCACGATACCTAGCAATACCGAGCGATACCAAGCTACGATACCGAGTACACAAGTGTCGTGGCACATTTTAGCTGATCTCCGAACGATATTCGACATTCACATAAAATAATTAATCCATAAATTATGATACTATATGCTCTCCTATAAGAATAGCCTATTCTCCAAAGCAAGTCCGTTATATCATCTAATGAAAGGCCAACCTTATCAATTGGTCCTTATTTCTTACGCCATTTCACTTCAGAGGTTCTACAACTAAACATAAGCCCTTTAACCCATTTTCTTTATATGTACTTCAGAATAGTTTAAGAAGGTTACAGCTTTTATGAAGGTAGTCATAAAAAATATTAAAAAAAAAAACTATTATTGTAAACATAGTAAAATATCTTTTAAAAGCAGTAAGAAAATATAAGTCAAATAAATATTATGATTAAAATCTGAAAAACAAAGCTGAAAAAAACTATCTCACATAAACCCTCTATTTATTTTGCATATACTTGAAAGAAAGCATCATTTTAAAGAGTTCTATGAGCATAAAAATGCTCTAAAGCAAGAAAGAGTTCTATGAGCATAAAAATGCTCTAAAGCAAGAAATTATTCCGTGCGATCACCCGACATATCATAAGTAAATTAGAATGGGCTGCGTCACCCAGTACAGAGCAAAACAATAACATGGTGCATCTTAGTTCACCTCCAGATGCCGTCCAATGACCGCACCGAATAATTTCTCCTAAAGAATGTACTATTGTATATGAAGAATTCCGGTATATCATTCCAGCACAATAACAAAGAAGGTTACATGTGACCTAGAGGAAATGGAGAGAGAGAGAGAGAGAGGTTAATAAATATCCTATGCAAGAAAAACATCACAGCAAATTCCACTCAAAACCTGAAGCGGCATATCCACGCTTCAGCCCAAAAGCTATAACAAACACCCTCTCGTTTGAACCAAGAACAATGATGCTTCCATAACTATTACACACTACAGACACTTCACAGACAAACTTAAACAAGTTCGTTTTCATGGTTCCATTTGAGGCACAATTACCATCATAACACATTGATTAGCTTCAAACAAAAGATGAAGAAATCTTCAAAAAGAAAAGTAGAATGAACAATACAAGCTAGTAGTCTCCCTGACTAGAATTCTACCTCCCATCAGCTGATGTGAAGGACTCTGCAAACCCCGCTGGCCTAGTGGGTATACTGCTCTGTGTGTTTTCCAGGCTGCCGAGGAACGAAGAGGTTGCTCCATCTCCATCCTCAAAAGCTTGCCACTTCTTCAGAGCCTGCGGCAGCGTCATGTCCAAGTCTATGCCGAAGCTGTCGTCGGAGTCAGGATCCGATGGCTTCCAAAGCTCGGCGAGGGTGGACAGAACATTGACGGCATGTCCCATGTCAGGCCTCTGGTGTGGCTCGCGGGCACAGCAATGGCCGGCAAGCTCGGCTACGGTGGTGATGCTTGCGAGGGTTTCCTCTTCTAGATACATCACAGGGTCTATGGCCTTGCGGAAACTCTCCTTGTTGAGCTGTATGCGGCGGAACCATGAAACCAGGTGCACACTTTCCTCTGGCTGACTCTCATCAAGTGCTTTCCGGCCACTTATCAGCTCCATCAATATCACACCAAAACTGAAGACATCGGCCTTTGTTGTAACACGCCCGGTCACTGGACAAATTTTTCAATCAACATTAGTATAATAAAGGCAGTTAACATATATTCATTTTAGATTTACTGAATTTCACAACAGCGCAGCACCAAATGGACCTAGGTTCCATTATATTTATAAGTGAAAAAGCAAAGTTAATTTTCAAACACAATATATAATAGCCATATTAAAACCCAAGAGCACAAACACTAGTACAATATATAACAACATCATGTCTTTATCCCACTACGTGGGGTCAGCTACCTTAATCCTTTTTCTCCAATGTATCATGTTAAGGATCAAATTCTCATTTAAAACTAATAAAGAAAGATCATTTCTAATATTTTCTAACCAAGTCTTTTTAGGTATACCTCTACCTTTCTTAACATAAGACAAGTCTAATACATCTACTCTCCTAATCGGGTCATCGGAAGGCCTCCGTTTTATATGACAAACCATCTGATACATCTACTATCCCACATAACATTAACTTACTCATACACAGATAAAATCTTAAGATCTAGAATCTTAGTCTTAATTTTTTTTTTGTTAATATTCTTAAAAAGCCCCCATCTAATTCTAGAATAACATTTTGCTTTATTTTTTATATTCTGCCTCTTCATCTTAAATTTTGAAAATAATAAGTGATGTTGGATACATAAATTAAAACCCGAAATAAATTTACAATATGTGCAATCTAAACGATCTATTTTTCTTATAAGAAAACAATAAATATGAGTTTTATTATATCAATTTTTATAAGTGATGAGATGTTTTCTTAAAGGTATTAGCAATTACGAAATCGTAAGCTATAACAAAATATAATATAACTTTACCACCTTCATTAATCACTTCAAACTCATAGCCATCATGAATTCTTTTAAAATCTACTTCTCTACCAACATGTTTATTTAAATATTCTTCAATAACACTTTAAAATTATTTAAATTAAAAAAAAAATATTCTTCAATAAAAACTCCTTCAAAAGATATCTTTTGTATTAATTATTCTAAGTCATTACAAAATTTTACTTTTGAACATATATCCAAACATATTTGAGAAACAAAAGCACATATAATATTAATAATCTTAGCACAATAATAATCTTTAAAGCTATAATTATATTTCAAATTCTATTAATTTTTACAACATTATCCTTCAAACTCTTATCTATATAATCACACCTACATCATTTCTAGTACGACTCCTATAAGAATATTATAGTTTAAATCCTAAACTATCAATCTACTTAGCATTCTCTCCCACCCATTTAGTTTCCTAAATGCATAGAATATTTATGTTTCTATGAATCATAATATTTATTAATTCCACTAATTTATTTGTAAGGGAACCTATATTCCAAATTCATATCCTAATTTTAGTATATGCAACAAAATTTTTTCATATGGATTAATGTTTATCTTTAGGATACATCTTAAAAACTTATTAAAAAAAGAAACAAATCCAACCACAACATTTATAGGGGCAAGTTCATCTTCATCCAATACTAAGATGGCACCAATTTGATGTATATGCCTACTACTGACATCACCATTGAGAATATTGACAAAACTAGTATAATAAGCCATAAATGCTAAGGCAATGCAATGAATAGAAAATTTTGTACAAGATATCACAAGTAAAATTATAATAAAGATATGAATATGTAAGAATTATATAAAACATTTGCAATTACTTTAGCAATTCTTCTCTTTACTTATTCCTAATTGTTTACCTTAGCATCTGGTGAGTTTGGTGGCTTCTCCAAAAAGCAAACATGAGAGGAAACATGGGAACGATGGAACAAAGAGGAATTTACGGCTTCTCCTTAAAGAAAAAAAAGGGAGGTCGTAAGGGAGATGGGTGAACTGAAACAATAAGAAAAATAACTAGCTTATGAGTGCGAGTGCGTGACTGAGACATATCTGTTGAGAGTTTCTTATGTTCTTAAAGAGTTGATGAGAAAGAAGTTCCACTTCTTTTCTCTTTGGTTGTCTTGAGAAAGATTGCTATAAGTTTTGATAAAATTTTCTATGATCTCCTAATTAATTTTTAAATAATAGATTTTAGCATGTGTTTTGATACTTTTATTTGCACTACTTCATACATTTTGATAAAATATTGCTTGTAAGCTACATGTCAACTCAGTGGGATAAAAGCTAATTGTTGCTATTGTACTACTGCTCTCTTCTAGACCCTTTCAAAAAACGGTTATTCAAGCAGTTTACTACAACAAGTTGGTATATTTAGGAGATCGCATCAAACAGTAGATTTGAAGGGGGAAGATTCTCTAGTTAGCATAAAGAAGAGAAAAATGGGATAGATCATAAAGCCCCTTAATTTGATTATTCTGCATTGGAATATGTTTCTTTTAGATCAAGCAATTCTTAATGTGAATATTGAAAAGGGAGATAAAACTTTGAATTAACAATGATCTCTACTATCCTTTTATGATTACATTAGTGCCACCATAATATATTGGAAAAATAAAATTTTTATGACAAAGGGAAAATCGGCTCTCCTATCCAATAGGTAGAAAACGTCTGGAGAAAGCCTGGCTAGGAAGAAGAAAAGTTAATAGAGCAAACAAATTTAAAAAAAATGAAGATCTAAATCAAAATCCAAGAAGAAAGGACAATGCCACTACTGCACTTAAAATTAACCGCTAAAAAATCAGAATATAAGTTATTTAAAGGAAAGCTCAAGAAAGAAAAAAAGTGATCAAAGAAAGGAACTTTTATTTGGTTCGGTGTAAGGATGCAGAGGAACATTCGGTCGTAGGCAAAATCGCGCCTATACCGAGGTGTACCGAGTTTTTTCAGTATAGGTGCGATTTTGCCTACGACCGAATGTTCCTCTGCATCCGGTCGGAGGACGTAATAATTCTTCTCAAAGAAGGGACTATAGCTCTACAACAACATCAATAGCAAACTACCAGAAAGTTGGATCTATTCTAATTCTAAAAAATTGGCTTTCTTATAGGCTTTTCTAAGGTGGAAATATCCTTATGAGCAATGACATGACCTTTGATACAGTAGGAATTAGTCAAGACACGAGATTTTATGACATGTGGGAATATTGGATTATGTCAAAACATTACATAGTTGAAATATATTTAAGTTTAAAATATCAATTGGTTAACCCTTACCCATACCCATAGAATTAAGCTTTTGGATTGAAGTTTCATATGTGAGGAGAGGAATACACCGGGGTACAGGTGTAAAGATCGAACTCTCCGGGTTCTCACCGTTTGTGATGACGAGGAAATTGGGGAGGGTGTCGTCTTTCCACCTTGTGGACAATGTGGGTCTTTGGGTGGGGGTATTGATAGACCGACCACTAGACCAATCTGGGTCTACCAGAGGAGGAACAAAGTTCCACCCCTAAGAAGCCGCAGATATCGCAGATGCTGCCTCCTCTGGGCAGGGTTCAATAAGAGGCCATTAATTGTGTTTAGGAAGGAGTTTTGAAAAGAGGGGTCGTTTAGGGATTTCCTTTATCATTGCTTGCTTTTTCTTTACTTTAAGTTGATTGTTTTCGTAGGGCTAGGGTATCAATTTTTTTTAATGAATTTAGTTGTTCTTCGTTGTTTTTGGGCTCTAGCGGTGTCTTGAGATTTGATAGAGTCATATCCTCCTCTCCAATTGAGAATCAATTCTATCTTAATATTTTTCTTCCATCAATTATCAATATAATTATTTCTCACTAGTATTTTCCCCAAATTCTTCTTATTTCTGATTTTGAACTTTACTGAAATTCAAATTCAGCCAAGTTAATTTTGATTTCTACAAGTGTTTCCTATTAGAATTTTTATAACAACCAAAGGGATATTCACTGAGCTAAGGAATAATTGTATCAAGGGCAAACCAAGCATATTGATGCCTAGCACCACTTCATCAAAAAGAAAGTTGAAGATGAAGAAGTTTCAATTCAAAAGATTTCCAAAAGCATGCCACCTTGCTTACTAAAGGTAATTCCATGTTCTAAAATGTTGGCATCATTTGGAATTGATTAGTTTGTGTAGCTAATGATGCCCTTCTGGCTTAGTGTGAGGAGAAGATTTTGGTGATATTAGTAGTAACTAGGTTATCCACTTTATCATTTGATGATATGAAAGAGTTTAAAAAGGATAGGATTATATAAATTATAAAAGGCACCCAAAGGTGACTCTTCTCTCCTCTTATTCCTCATTATTTACCAAGATGTGTAGCTTCAATTTCAAAGCAAGAGAAGTATCTTCTCTAGATCATGAAGATAAAGAGGAACGGAAAAGTGATTGAACATAGAGATCGTATGACTTCTCCTTTGTGGAAAAAAATAGAGCAAGATTAAAAAGAAGAGAGGGATAAAGGGTTGAGTCAAGGAGAAGGGCTACCAGCTTACAAGCATGAGAGAAAGATTGAGAAACCTCTTTTGTAAGCTATTTTTGTTCTTGAAGATTTTATTAGAAAAGAATTACCCTTATTTTTCTTTTTGGCTTTCTATTGAGTAAAGCGCCTTTAAGGTTTGTTGAAATCTTTTCCACTCTCCCAGTCAACTTTTAGAGGATATTTGATATATGTTTAGTAATTCCTCTTTTTTTGTACTATTTTATACATTTAAATGGTAGATTGTAGCTCAATGAATGTAGCCCTTGATCAAATCACATAAATTTGGCTATCTTGTTTCTATGGCTCTTTGTTATTTTGTGTATATTCGTATGATGTTAGTTTGGCTTCTCCAAAGTTTTTGTACTTTGCGTTCGTTGGTGTCTCTCAAAGAGATTGATTTGGGCATTCTCTACAACAAATCATAACTCGCCATGTGGCCTCATTACCAAAAAAACAAATAATGGAGAAGGGATGATGAAACAATTAGATTTATAGGCATGCCCTCAATTTAATAATCAGGCTTGTGACATCCTTATGAAAGCTTTGTTTTTCTATAAAGTGAAGCAAATGAAAACGACAAGCCTTGTCCATCAACAATTTTGTACATGACTTGTCCAATTAACCACAGATAACTAATTAAATAAATTATTAAGTAAAGTGACCTTCATGCATCTCAGATTTAAACAATAAATAACTTTGTCCCCTAACATTACTTATAAAACTATTTGACAATAACTAAAAGTTAAAATTTCTAGAAAACGTGCGTCAATGCATGCAACTATAACAGAAAAAAAAAAAAGATTGGTGACATAGATAGATGGTAGAAGGATTACCAGCATACTCAGGTGCAAGGTACCCAAAAGTTCCTGCAAGTCGAGTCTCCACAGAGCATCCTTTGCCATCTGCTAGTCTAACAAGCCCAAAGTCTGCGACCTTAGCCTTCATATCATCTCCAAGAAGAATGTTTGAGGGCTTCAAATCTCTATGAATAAAGCTCTGATGAGCAAGACTGTGCAGATATTCCACCCCCCTTGCAACATCCAGAGCAATGCTCAACCTCTTCATCCACTCCAATGACTTCAACCCCTCTTCCCTCCAATCAAACAGGTGACGGCTCAATGTTCCCTGCGGCATGTATTCATACACCAGGAGCCTTTCATTTCCATCCAAGCAATACCCAAGCAGTGAAACCAGATTACGATGCCTAACTTTTGTAAGAACTGCAATCTCAGACTTGAATTCATTCAAACCCTTTGTGCCCATCACACCAGACTCCATTCTTTTAACCGCTATCTTAGTACCATCGTGAAGCTCACCCTTGTACACAGTACCAAAACCTCCTCGGCCGAGGATGTTCTCTTCACTGAAGTTATTGGTCACATTCTTTAGGACTTGGATGGAAATCATCAAATTTCCAGCTTCAACAACATGGACATCACTAGGTCTGCTGCTGGCCTGACTATAATTCTCACTTGCAGACCCTGTATTCACGCTCGATCCTGCCACTGTAATCTTCACCAAATCTGGATCTGACCCAGAATATCTAGGATGAATCACAGTTGTGTTTGGACTCTGAACCCGGTTAAAATTTTGCTGCTTTCTCTTGTAATAGCATAGACTCATGAAAGTTAAGAGGGAAATTCCACAAATCGCAGTGAGAACAGAGCCAACGATTATTCCCACTTGAGTGGAGGTAGCCTTCCCTTTGCCACGAGGCACTTCGCCGCTCTCTGAACCAACGGGCCCAGAACCATTTATAAGAACTCCAGAAGGACTGGAAACCGGAGTAAGAACATTACTGCCTATGTTTGGGTTCCCTTGGGTTTTCAAAAGAACATGTTCTGGAAAGTTCGGAACTTTACCGGAGATTGAGTTGTTCGAAACGTCCAACTCGGAGAGATTAGCCAGGCCAGTCAGCGACGTTGGGATGGTGCCGATAAGATTGTTATTGGAGAGCAGAAGCTTCTGAAGCGCAGGAAGTTTTGCATAGTCCGGGGAGATGGTGCCGTTCAAACCCATATTCTGAAAGTTGATGACCGTGATATTTCCCTCACCGTTGCAAGTAACTCCAAGCCATTCGGCGCCGCAGGGGTCGTTCCCCTTCCAGTTCTCTCCGAATATTACCGGATAGTCAAAAGATTTAGCAATGGTAAGCAGTACATCTACACGAGCATCGCAGGGAGATCCCGGCTTTTCCAAACAAAAGCTCTCCGTTTTAGGGTCGAGGTCTAACTCTTTTACGGAGTTGGGGAACTCAGGCAAGGGTCCTTGGAGAAGATTGTTGGTGAGAGCGACCCTTGTGAGGGATTTCAACGATGTGAGCGAGCTCGGCACGGGGCCAGTGAGCTTGTTGTCTCGAATCATGAGATCCCGGAGGCCACCGAGGCCGGAGAAGTCCGGAAGCGGGCCATCGAACGAGTTGGAGTGGAGCCAAAGCTGCTCCAAATTAGTCATATTCTGTACGACGGAGATGCTACCGGAGAGGGAATGGCCGCCGACTTGGTTGTTAAGCCAGAGCGAGCGAATGCCGGAACCAGCGAACGTGGCCGGCAACTGACCAGAGAGAAGGTTAAAAGCAAGCGCAAGGTGGTTGAAACTGGGGAAGGAGGTGGCGAGAAAGTCGGGAACGGAGCCCGAGACATTAGCCGAGTTGGCGGAGAAGTTGACGAGGCCTCCGGCGTCGCGCAGGGATGCCGGGATCTGCCATGGTTTGAACGGGTTATAGTCGAGGTACACTGACGTGAGGGAGCTAAGGCCGGAGAAGAAGTTGGAGGGGATGGACGAGAAGAGGTTATTATGGAGGAGCAAGACTTGGAGCTTGGAGAGGCCGGTGAGTATGGGGAGAGCACCGGATATACTGTTATTCTGGAGCTCAAGCCGGTTGAGCTCGGTGAGATTTCCAATCTCTGGTGGTAGGGTTCCGGTGAGGCGCTGGTTTCCAATCTGGATGGCGGTCACCCGGCTCCCGCTGCAAAGCACGCGGCGCCAGGACGAGCAGGGGTCGGTATCCGGCGACCATTTGAGGGCTCTGTCGGCGCCTAGAGTTCGCGCTAGTGCATGCATTGCCGCTGCATCGTCGGCGTTGGTCTGCGCCGCTGCGCCGACGACCGCTGCCGCCGCGACAACGGCGAATAGAAAATCAAGTGTCCTCATCGAGATTCGAACTGCTGCTAGCTCTTGGTGTAAGTGACTAAGGAGCTCTAGGGTTCCACCCCGCCATTTTTCCGTAAACTAAAGTTTCAGAAAGATGCTGAGAAGAGAAAGCGAGCGATTGTAAGCGGGCAAGAAATACGGAGAGAAGGCTGTCAACAGTGCCATAGAGGGAGAGAGAAGGGGGAAGCAGCACATGGAGAGGCACATGGGAGTGGGTCCCACAAGGAATATAGGGCAGCGATTCGAGCGTTGTGGAGATAGGGTCCAGCTGGATAAAAAACTATCCATTAAGAAATTCGCTGCATAAATTCCAAAGAAATTTATAGTTTAATTTTATATAAATATCTACTTGCATGCTAGAGGCTAGACCAATTAAATTGCTCCACTATTCATGTGAAGATAACAGAGTCTCCATTCTTCTTAACGGGAGAAGATGGTATAATATAACAATATTTTCATTTTTTTTTAATTGGACTCTGAAGACAGTAATAGAAATGTTGGAGAAATAATGAGATGATGGTCTTCAACATTAAACAATGACAGTTAAGAAAATGTTGTTAGATTGTGGTGGATGTTGATATTGGGAGATGTAATTAGGAATGTAAATGAGTCTAATTAACTCAAGTAAATCTCTAATCGAGTTAAGTTTATTTAGTTCTAGTTGAGCTCAAGCTAGTTTATTAAACTCGAGCTCTACTCGTTAGAGAATCTAGGCTTGAGTTCAACTCGATTGTTGAGATTAAATTCTTACTTTTAAATTAAAATTTTTATTTTTATAAGAATTTTTTATTTTTAATATATAATTAATTTAAAATTATTAAAATATCTTATATAATGCCAATTTAAATTTAGTTTTAAATTAATTGAGTAGCTCAATGAGCTTCGAGCAAAGCCAGGCTAAGCTCGAGCTCATGCTTGTTTAATGTACAGCTTAAGTATATGCTCGAGCTTGAATTCGAACTTGTGGCATGATAAGCTTAACTTGTGAGCTAATTAATGAGTCAAGCTCGAGCTGGCTCCGCTCACTTACACCCATACTGTCAGTCAGAAGATGATGATGAATATTAGTGTCAGCTGGTATATGTTGACACTAATTAGGAGACGATCATTGGGTGATGACAATCAAGTGATAATAGATATCTACATTTACTATTGAACAATGACAGTTGCTGGTAGTGATCATTGTCATCAAGTATTGTGTATAATTTTATATTATTCAAATATATGAGTTCTTTCTCATTCTTGATCTTATTCATGTATAGATTGAGGGTCTGTTTATAAATTTTTGAAGTGATATTTTGATTATTTACTCAGTCTCTTCAAATATTCTATTGTATAACTCTTGTTAATCACCTTGATCATATAAAATTTTATAGGCATTTAAGTGCCTTAATGAATTATAATTAAATGAGTTAAAGTTATTTGATTCCTATCATTCTACACATTCGAGTGCTTTAATGAATTATAATTGAATGATATATATTGAAGTTATTTGATTCCTCTAGTTAAGATGCTTGTTTTTATTTTAAGCACACATAAAAATCTAGAAGTAAATAGCTTTAGTCAAAATATGTCTTTATTTCACGCCATATTTACTCTTTCATCTCTAACTTCTCCAACATGCAATGAGGATGACAGAATGGATTGGGAAGTTGGAAGCTGTGGGAGGGTGTTAGATGATAATAGAGGGGTTGTCACCCCTCAAGTTTTAAAATAGAATAATTATCTATTTAATTTTTTAATTAATCTACAATAACTTATATTAATCTATTATTATAAATCAGTCAAGCAGAAGTAATTAAGAATCATATACACCAAAATATAAAAGTATATTCATTATTCAAAGTTCATATACAATAATTAGGAAATCAATTAATACACCAGTCCATCATTCTTTTTAAAATCATGACTATAGAATAATTATACCAAAAATACATAAATAAAGTAAAACTTGAAACCTGACCTATCTCACTCAATTGGATTATGCCCCCTTCTTAAAAAAGATGTAAAAATCACAAAGTGAGTAAACGATTCAGTATGTTATCAGAATCTACTGCTGCAATCAATGTAAGATAATAGAAACAATATATATGTAATCATTAATACATAACAATGTGATCATAAAAACATATAGTAATTGATATGAACAAAATCAGATCATATGAACAGTAAATATCAGTGCATATATATATATAACCAGCTAAATAACCAGTAGGCTCTATCATTTTTTATATCTAGCAGTTACAAAGCAGTTTAGTTTATATATATCTATAAAAAATGTCAAAAAATATTTAGAGTGTCCATTCATTTTTGTTAGGTTAATCTTTTTTTATCTCTAAAATATATATGCCTTAATTCTATTTTGCTCGTTTTCAAAAAAGAGGTTGATTTAGCTTACATAATCTGTATTAATATTAAAAATTTATGGAATTACAGCCATTTTATTAAAAAAAAAAAAGAATTTCATATTATAATTTATAAATATATTATGTTTATTTTTTTATTTAATTTGCTTCATAAATGAGCAGATGTATATCTTATTATTAAATATGGATTCATTAAATGTTTATCCAACGAAAGACGCAAATTTTAATTCCACAGTTGACAAAGTTCAACCTTAATTAGCAGCCTTAAATAAGGAGATCATGGTTGGTATTGCCATCATCTACCTCACGGATTCAAATTCCCTCTAATTATCATTGAAATTACGTGTGCATTTCGTTTATGTCAGCCGTGCGGTGCAGTACAATTCTGGCCGTTGGATTGATTTCGATTCCGTTATAATTATTTAAAAATTTTCAGTTTTTGATAAAATTAAATAGGAAAAATTATAATATGCGGTGTTTGGACGCGTCCGGAGGTCAATTCAGATGCGACATATCACCTAATGCATAGTAGCCGGCGTTTTCCGATTTACAATAGATGTGACCGTCTAAGCGAATCACAAATCAAACGATATTTTTTTTTTCATTTTGAATAGTGCAATGCCAATATTAACGTCGTACTACTCATAGTGGAGAGAAAACACCAAATACATTTATTTTTGACGTTTCGATGGAGACTTGCGGTAATTGTAAACATACGATAGAAAAATGATATTTGATTTGGTTGAAAATGCCCTACAAAGATAAGTGATGAAGAGTTGAGGACTATGGCGGTTGGTGTTGTGACGACCTATCTTTGCTAGCATTTGACAGGTGCGCTCGACTCTCAGAAAATTGGGTTGGGGCAGCTAGTAAAGGAGATTGTCAGAGAGGATTAGGAGGACGGTGGTTTAAGATTCATTGTAATTTAATGCTGTGATTTTAGGAAAACATTATTATGTACGGACACCGAACGACATCTGGAGACCAACCAGAACTTGGTACGTCACTTTTGTGTTTCATACCGGTGAATTGTATCAGATGATATGACTCATTCTAATTAGTCTTTGGACTAACCGATGCCCACGCAGAATTACTTTTCGAATTTAGGAGGTTTTTTTTCTATAATGAGAATAATGAGATTAAATTAAGATGATTAAGAAATGAAAAAAAAAAAAATGCTGGCTTTGGTACTGATATTGTAGGTGTTTTTATTTTTATTTTTTTATTGTAGGTGTTAATGTACGTTATGGGCTCTTTATGATTACAATGATCTGTTTCATGGGCAGTTGCTCAATCAATGTTATAATACTTTGGTGTTCTTTTATTCTATAATTTCACTTATGTTGGGAAGAGCCAGCTCTAAAGGTACAAACTTTTATTGCTTTTATTAAGCATTAATACAAATGATATTTGAGGCATCCAACAAATTTCATTATTTGACTTTTTTTTTTTAGGGGGGATTTTTGTGGGCTTAGCCCGTATATTTAAAAAAAAATGGTTACAATGAGAAAGAGACCCATAAAAAATGGGTACAACGAAAAAGAAGACAACAAAAACACAGAATAGGTCAAAACAACGATCGGACTCAGGAAAAAGAACTAAAAAAAATAAGCTTAGAAGCTTATCAATCATATAAGATTAGCCAGATTGAAAGAACCGCCCTTCCCTAGTTGCCCATATATTTAACTAAAAACGGTTACAATGAGAAAGAGACCCATAAAAAATGGGTACAACGAAAAAGAAGACAACAAAAACACAGAATAGGTCAAAACAACGATCGGACTCAGGAAAAAGAACTAAAAAAAATAAGCTTAGAAGCTTATCAATCATATAAGATTAGCCAGATTGAAAGAACCGCCCTTCCCTAGTTGCCCAACAGGAGCAGTAGAAGAGGCAAGCTGCAGATTTGAATAAGCACACAAACAGGCCATCCAATTGGGTGAATTGATGAGCAATTACAATATGCATGGGTGATTATTGTAGTGGTAGAATTTCAAATTTTTTTAGCGGGGGGAGCGGGAAAAATTTTAAATATTCTTTTAATTTTTTTCTTTCATGTTTGAGATAATAATTTATTTCCATATAAAAATAAGTATTATAAAAGGATGAATAAATAGAATTAATTATAATTCCTTTTTAATAAAAAGTAGTAGTAAAATAAAATAAAAATGAAAAAAAAATAATTATATAAATTTTCTTTTGTTGGTGGGGGAGTCTATGCCTCTATAATTCTGTCTGTGAATTGTTGTGATCCAAATGATGAAGGTGGTTCATGTAGGTTGTGTGGAGCAAATATTTTAAGTGTTATATAATACTCTTTTTATGAGTAAGATCTAATATTTTTAAGGATTTGTTTGAGAAAGTTTTATCTTTGTTTTGTTTTTCAAAGAACAATCATAATTTTATTTAGCCATTACTTTCTAGCTGCTTTTCACTTTTTTTTTTTTTGAAATTTTTATAATGGAAAGTTACTTTTTACAACCAAAATAATTAAATTTCCATACAATAACTGCACAACTAATTTTTGTTGAACTCTACAGCCTTCCACACATGAGTAATTGTTCTAGACTTCTAGTTGAACCTTCTCCCAAATCTCCCTCTACAAAGCAACGCTCTCTTAATAAACAATCATTGTATAGAGCTTCAAAAGGTTCATTATCTTCTTACCATAGAACTTATAATCTCCTCCTACAAACAATCACGACCTTCTTCAACATCCTCCCATGTCTCCCTCGGCCATCCTCGTATAATCTCCTTAATAAAACTAAGGTTTTGATTGGGACAATTTT